ACACAACCAATTTACCATTCACGGGCAGAAGCCAGACCTTAAGTGCTTACCGACTCGGAGGCAACATCAGAACAAACGTTTCTTTGATATAGATTTATTTTTCTTTAATGCGTAGTCTCTTATGGGAACTTGAAATAAACAAATAAATTCAAACTTGTTACCGAGGCAAGTTCCCTCGGTTCGCCTTTTGCTAGCTACGGGCCTGCCATCAAAGCACCATTTCAACTGTAGAACTCAATCTACCTTTTGAAGGAGTACAATAGATTCTAGTGGTGTTCTCACAGCGAGAAAAACGCTTCGAATTGCTTCGATTTTAATCTTACTGACTTTAAAGGAATGACATAGATTTTCCTTACTATCCTGTATTTTTTAACGTCATTGACAAGGTGACCTTATGGTCAAGCCTTCTTTAAGTTGTTGAATACAGCATGGCTGCGAGACCAGTGAGAGAGGGACGAACTGGAAGGTCTTTCTCACCAAACTGATTCTTCGTACAGTTTAGTGATCCGAGCTTGTTAGCAATGTTGGCGACAAATTTCTCTTGAAATTTACGAAGTTTATTTGACATTGACTAAGAAACCAGAAAAGTCGCTTATAAATATGCGAAACAGGAAATAGTCCATTGTTCACATTGACTGATGCGTCAACCTGACTTTACCGTACAAATTCGCATTTAAATTAACGTGTTTCGTGAAAATGCGCTTGACCGAAGAAACGGATTTTGAATGAAAGATTGGCCATAAGATGGGGCGGTTTTTACACATTGGCGATAGCTCCAACACTGCCGTTAATCTGGCATTGATTTAGTGCGACGCTAGTCTTGAAGATTTGGTACAAGCTGAGTTAAATGTACGAAGACGGTCAATACGCACTTGATTCTCTACTCAGGCCTTTAAGGCAAAACATGGCAACATGGATTCGACCGGAGAGTCAAAACACACAATCTCTTAAAGATCTAACTGACTATGTTAGTTAACCACAACAATATTAGGAGAACGTAAACAATTTTTCCAGCGTGGAGGACTTCACAATGAACGTCAACTCGATTCACTTCATTGACTAAGTTACGTATTTATAAGGTCTACATTACCTGCCGTGCGCTTAGCAAGCATTTGAAAGGCATCAGCGGCGACTATGATCGTATTAATCTTGTAATAACCACATAAAATCAAAGTTCTCCTCCCCTTAGGTGGATACCAAACATTTGATTTCTGTGCTAATACACAAGGCATACCTTTTGTTTAGAGGCCACCATTCACAAATGTCGCCGCTGGAGCCAATGAACAAAGGCCCTAATCAAATAGCCTTTCAAGGTTTTTCAAAAGCCTAAAGAATCAACGCTTGGCCGATATTGTAATAGTGGTTGTAATAGTGCAATCTTCGTCCTAATGCAAATGAATTGAAATTTGGCTCGAACAGAGTGCTAAAACGGCTTTTCTTCTTGCTAACACGGTGGCGTACAGACAACTTTCCTATCGTATTGTGTTCGAATGCTTTTAGCCCCAAGTTGCGAGAACATGTACAATAAGACTTCTACGACATAACTGAAATGAACTCTTGTGAATTTCAATTTTCATGTGCACAAAGAGGTTAATTACAAAGCACTTATGCAATTACTTGAATTCTTTCCACCTTGTTAAGTTTTTTGACTTGGCAGTATTGTGCCCCTTTAGACCTCACATATACCTTTAGCTCGCTTTAAACTTGTTAGCTAAAAAAAAAAACGTTCTAGGACTCAAAGGAACACTAGCTGTCTGAGGCTGGATCTTTCAAAAAACAAGCCTGGTCAAAAACAGCGTGATTTCCAATATCGATGTTGTGGGCAATGTTGCGATGTTCTTTTTTGTTTTCAAGCAGACCGTGTAGGTGACAACTTTTCAAATACTATACTGGCAGATTTGACAGGAAACGCATAAGATGCAGGGTTTTTTTTTTTAGAGAAATTTTGAGTACAAGCCGGCATTAGTTCTCACCACTATATCGATACAATATCATGCCTTTGGCTAGCTGCAGTCTAACTCCCACACCCGACAACATCAGCAATAAAACACAATAACAAACAAGGTGAATTAAAATTAGTTCGTCAGAAACCTCTAATACTGATCAGGTACCGTGCTGCTAATCGATTTATCATGTTTGTAAATTAAATCATAATATTTACAGAGAAAGCCACATCAGCTATAGCTGGTCCCGTCTATCCTGATCGAATTGGAATTTGGAAATGTTGGTTTTTCCAGTACTCGGAGAAAACCCTCGGAGCAGGGCGAGAACCAACAACAAACTCAACCCACGTATGAGTTGTTACGGTTTCAAAAAATTGCTTTCCGCTCTCTGCAATGTCAACAGTTTAAAAGTCGGGGAAAAGTGCAATCCCATACACGCCGCTATTAACAGCAAACGTCATTTTGATTTGCCTAATACTTTCTTGAACAAATACCCGGAAAGAGACTGAACCAAGTCACACCGCCCCTTTATGCGCTGTTCGCGTCATCAACTTGTGATTGGCAGTTTTAACTAAATCAGAACCCACCCTCTTGCCTATATTTAGAAATTAAGGTATGCAGCCAGTCGCCAAAGCATAACCAGCTGGATCAGTATATATCTCTTACGTCTTTTGTATTATGGAGGGAAAGATAATACCTGGAATTAATCAATCGACTATCAGCACGCAAATGCGTTTTTTAAGGTTTAATAAGCTACTCGATTGCAACCGTCTCTTTCAAGTTTACTGTGTTTTTTACCTCCCACGAATAATATTAGTTACCTTGTAACCACAAAATCCGGCTGTTTGTTATTGACGGTAAAAACACACTTTGGGCTGGGCCACGCACGTTAAAAGCAGCGGGTTGTGTTGGTAATGATCAGTGGCAAGCAGCCTAGGTTCTCGTAAGGTATGCATGCAGATCGCCAGGCCCAGGGTAAACGTCTAGTAGACTTCTAGAGATTATGGGAAATTGCTTTAGTAATTTAACCGAACCACTTAGAGACAGACAACATGTTAGGACAGACAAGAAGAGAACCATTGTTTTGTTTGAAGTCAATATAAAATCCCATTCTTTTTACGTTGTACTCAGTTCCCTGTAAGGCAAATATGCTTGAGACTAGCGCCATGTGTCGCATTTTTTCGTTTTATCTCAGTTCACCTGCCCTGAGTTTCTAGTTTAGCTCTCAGAGACAGTCTTCATAAAAAATTACATAGACACATTCTAGCAGAGAGGAATTTAAAAGCAGAGGACAGAAGTGTTTATTTCGGCTTGTGCGACTGGTAAATATAGAGTTCACTTAATTAACACTTTCCCGTACATTAACCTGCCTTGACCGTTAGAATCCTGTTAGTTCTCTTAACAAACGTTAAGAACAGCCAGAAATGGTCAGAAATCATAAACAAAAAAAAGTAAAGAAATAAAATAAATGCTCTGAGCCTTCCTTAATGTCCTTAAACAAAGATGAGTTAAATCTAGGATGCAATATTCGATAGTGTGTTTTGCTTCCGAAAAGTTCTATTCCTAGTCTCCCGGTGGTCTCAAGTTTCAATCAGGACTATTGGTGAAGAGTTAATAGTATAGTGTATGCTGATTAATTAACAAAAGCATGACTAACTCGGCTTCGCATGCTTCAACGTATAAGCCCCCTAATTCCAAGGGTGAATGTTGAAGGTTGCAATGTTAAAAATAATGTTAGCACAACAGAAATTTTCTTTTCGGGGAGACACAAAGTGCAATAGGGTCAAGGCGAACTTCCGTTTTAGGCCGAGATATTGCCAGTTGCCATGGAGATCTGGCGATATGACGTCAAAGATCACGTGTAAAACAGGTTATTTGTATTGTTAGAAAGCTTTCTCGGCATTTCCTTTCAGGAAGTTCTCAGGAAGCAGACGAAATTTGTAATAAACCAGAGATGTCTGGTTAAATTGAAACATGCAATAGACAAAACTGAATGTTATAGCCTGCTAATTGTTTGCGACTGAAAATTAATTATGTCATCAGCTCTACTTTTGTTCGCAAGTTTGCGTTGTGTAAGATGGTGAAGGAAAAGTGCAAAACGAATGGTTAGGAGATTTGGCAAATTAAAACCTTAATGCCCGTTGTGATGGACAAAATGAAAGCTCGTTTCCGGTGGAATTCGACAAAGCAAGATGTGTACAGATTGAGACTGCTAACAACGAAGGATTCATTCGTTTGCGAAGGATATAAAACCGTCAGTTTTCTAACCTTAAGGCAACGTTTTAGGTGCAAAAAATGTTAGGAGAAGATTTTTTCTATTTTGAAAGAGAGTCCTTCTGATCTTTACTTTATCTACATAAAAACCTGTCATTCATCCTCTTGGATAATAATTTACTCCTTCTTACGTTTCCAATTTACCGATAAACCAATTTTTCACCGGCGCTCGCAACCATGCGCTCTCCATGTCAAAGATGGCTAATTCTGCTTGTAATGTGCAAATAAAACACGGCTTAAGTCCGTGTAGATGACTTTTTAGAGCGTCGTTACTCGCCCCAATTAATTGATAGCTTACTTCATTAATCTTAAATGCAAACATGACCATTAGTGCCATTTATAAAGATCTCAACAATGAAAAATTGCAACTGGTTATTCAAGCTTCAGATCATGCTGAATAGTTTGAGATCGTAGTATCAAATCCTACTGCTGTGTTGAAAAACGTGAGCCGAGTGAAGGGTTATTTTTACATTGCCAAGGGTGCTGCGAGATGTATTTTGACGCAAAACGAAGCCACTTGTGGGCAAATAGCTCGGTGACCCATTAAGGCGGGAATATTTTACTAAGGGCCGCCTGCTCACTGGCGTGAAATAAACACGATATACCACATGGTCAAAACATTCCACGACTGGCGTGTTTCTACACGAACTCAAACTGATATCGAGGGATGCGGCAACATTTGTAGGTTTGGCAAGTTCATTTATACCCTTATTAGGCAAGCGTTTGTTTGCCGGACTAGGGGTGTCACCGTGAATGTTACAGAATAGCGAATAAATTTCTTAC